AAAAAATCTGGTCGACACACGAGAAGATGCTGCTTTTATGGTCGTNTCCATGCTATCGCAGGAGGCAAGTGTATCAAATTTGTGGGAAGCTGGATATCTTGGGGATCGCAGATCCTTTAGAGATTAAAACCAAGGAGGCACATCTAGCAGATGTAAAGACACTATTTCAAGATACGACTGGAATCAATGAAGAAGGACGTTACGAGGTTCTATTGCCCTGGAAGGAAAAGCATCCGTCACTCCCAGTTAACAGAGATGTAGCGGAGAAGAGGTTAATATCTGTTACAAAAAAGCTGCGACAGGAAGATTGGTACGAAGATTATGACGGAGTTTTCAACGATTGGCTTTCCGAAGGCATTATAGAAGAAGTGCCACTTGAAAAAATTGACAATAAAGGATTCTATCTCCCCCATAGACACGTTGTTAAAGAAGGAAGTACAACGGTAATACGTCCAGTATTTGATGCTTCAGTCAAGATGAAAGATTCACCCTCGTTGAACCAATGTCTAGAAACAAGCCCCAACCTCATTGAACTCATTCCGGCCATGTTGCATCGATTCAGGGAAAAGAAGATAGGACCCAGACAGCACACGACGTCCAATGGACGTCCATTTTTTGTTCTTATTTAGTCCAAACGTCCATGGACCTAACATGGACGTTTTAAGAACGTACATTATTGGATGTACAAAATATGTTAATTTTGGTACGTTTTAAAGATGTCCATTTCATGTATTTATAAGAAACATGCGTTTGGCGGCTCACATATGCCTTTATTTATATGTTGCGACGTTATATCTATTCACGGATCGTACCAATATAATATAGTATAACAAATTATAACAATTATAATTACTAATACTTATTACATTCATTATAATTACCATTATATATTATATTGACAATTATAATTTTTCTAATGTTATTTTATTTCATATTGCAAGACTTTAAGCAGATAGCACGTATAATAAGTTATTTTTGCAAAGGCTGTAGTACTTATATACAAGTGACAGTTAAAATTATAGTGCTTATCTGTTGTAACGATAACGTCGTGCGGTTCATAAGGAATTCTTCTTATAA